CCAGGATCATGACCTGAGCCGAAGGCAGTCGCTTAACCAACTGAGCCACCCAGGCGCCCACGTATATCCAGTTTTTTAAAGTCTGGTAAAGGAAGCTGACAGACTTTTAAAAATCATTTGGAAAATGTTGGTACTGGGATCATCCATTGGGGATTAACATGGTCTCCCTAAACTAACTGGCAACAAAAAATCCCAATTCAGACACACTTTGGAACACTCTAACTCCAAGTTCAGAGAGTAGTCAAATCCCAAAGAGAGAAACTAAGAACCCATGCTATTTGTCACAGTAGTTAAGCTATCTCCTCTCTACCACATCATCTAGACTTGTCACGGAGGTCCGCTAAGTTACAGTCATTTTATTTCCTGTCTACACTAAAGGAAGAATATTTTTTTGAATATAATAATGTTCCACTGTTGCCTTTGAGGGTCTTACCTCTTTGACAAACAAACTTTGGGCCCTCTTCTCAGCATCTTCTGGTACAGTGGACTGCACTGTTCTGCGCTGACGACTTATCACCGAGATCTAGAAGACAGGGAACATTCTTGCCGTAAGAACTAGCCTGGAAAGTGTGAATGTTTTCCTTTAAAGCAGTGCTTGTGAACTCACAGAGATATCTTCCATTGGAAACATAAGCAGGTCTCTGAGGGGGTCGCTGTAAATCTGGGTTTTCCTTTGGGTGATAACATTCTCATAGTCCAAGGGCTCAACAATTTTGGTCTTTTCCTTAATAAGAGACAAATACAAAGTTAATACGGTCAAAGTCATAAGATATAAATTCCTGTCCATGTGCGAAAGACACCTTATTTCACTAAAGAAAGGACTGTTGACGGCAGTGAGCACTTGGGACACTTTCACAAGAGAAACATCCTCCATAACTAGAAGCGCAGATGCCAAACACATACAAACACACACACAGATCTGTCCGCTAAAGCCAAGAGTTCTAGAGAGTTAGCCCTGTACCCTGCTTTTCCACGTGCCTTCCAAAAATGTAAGGTAAAACAAAAAGTGGTCTATTTGGAACCCTGTCAGTTGATTTTTAGAGAATTGGCTCTGTTCACTGGGTAACTGAAGATGAGGAAGTATCGACATTCGTGTGCCTGGTGCAGGCAGAGCCTGGGCAAACGTGGGTGCTGGAGGTGCTCGATCCACTGGGCAGGGCATGAAAGGGTGGGGTCCTAGGTGACGAAGTCAGGGGATCCCGAACAGACTGCCGGGTGACCTGGCCACTGAGCGTAGGGCCCCAGCCTGAGGCTAAGGTTACAAGGAGCAAGGTCGGCGTCTGAGAAATCCAGGATATGATTTATTAATAAGAGTAACAAGAGTGGGCATTTACCAAGCCCTTTCTGTATGCTAGACACTGTGGCAAGTGCTTTCTCTAGATTTTCTCACTTAATACTCATAACCACCCTCGGAAATAGGCTTGATCTGGGGCGCCTGGCTGGCTCAGTCCGTAGAGCGAGAATGAATGAATGAATGAATGAATGAATGAATAGAAATAGGCTTAATCTTTGTCACCATTTGACAGATGAGGAAACTCTGCACTCAACTCAACACTAAGTAACTTGTCTGCCTTCGGAGCTAGAATTCAAACCTAGGTCTGTGACTACAAAGGTTCAGTTCTTTCCACCTCATGTATCGTTTTCTCCCCCTCAGAAATACCCAAAGCTACGAATATGCAAGACACTGAACTTGGAAGAGGATCCCACCACCTACCTTCCTATCATTTTTTTCTTCACTGAACTTATCACCATGTGATATAACACCTACTTTACCTCTCTTCCTACCTGAGGGCGGAGATTTCCCTTTATTTGTTCACTGTTACAACTCCAGCACCTACAACAGCACTTGGCACGTGGTGGGCATCCAATCATTAATTGTTGGATAAACTCTGAGATATTCAGATTCAACCAGAGCTATGTTCCAACACACTATTCCAGACCAAGGTGGGTGTATATTAATGCTTCCTAATAACAGTGTTTTACTAAATCAAATTAAAATTACTTAAAATTTTTATTAAAAAAACAACATAAAGAAAACTTAAATAAAAGATACACTGAAACTTAGTATCATAATGGAATCAGAATTACATTTGCGTACACAGTACCTGAGGCAGTCTCCAGTAGAGCGTATCCACACAATCCTTTGGGAACAGGTTTTTTTAAGTTTTTATTCAAATTCCAGTTAGGTAACATACAGTGTAATATTAGCTTCAGGTGTTCAACACTTCCATACAACACCTGGTACTCATCATAAGTGATGCCCTCCTAATCCCCATCCCCTTTTTCCCCCCACTCCCCCACCCACCTCCCCTCCGTGTGTTCTCTAGAGTTAAGAGTCTATGTCTTGGTTTGTGTGTCTCTCTCTTTTTTACCCCTTGGCTCGATTGTTTTGTTTCTTAAATTCCACATGTGAGTGAAATCATATGGTATTTGTCTTTCTCTGACTGACTTATTTCACTTAGCATAATACTCTCTAGCTCCGTCCATATGGTTGCAAATGGCAAGCTTTCGTTCTTTTTGATGGCTGAGTAATATTCCATTGTGTACACAGACCCCATCTTCTTTATCCATTCATCTGTCGATGGACACTTGGCCTGCTTCCATAATTTGGCTATTGTAGATAATGCTGCTATAAACGAGAACAGTTTTTATACCTGGTTCACAATTAAGTCACAGCCAGATCCCAGTTCCATATCTGAAGAGCATCTCAGAGTTTCCTCTCTAAGATTACTTAGAAAGATTAAACTACTCTTAATAAACATCAGTATTCAACAAATCTAAAAGACCCTAAAAAAACAGTACGGAAGTTCCTCATGAAATTAAAAATGGAACTACCATATGATCCAGCAATCCCACTTCTGGGTATATAGCCAAAGAAAACAAAATCAGTCCCTCAAAGAGATATCTGCACTCCCATGTTAATAGCAATGTTATTCACAAGAGCCAAGATATAGAAAAAAAAAATTAAGTGTCTCTCAACAGATGAATGGATAAAGAAAATGTGGTCTGTACATTTATTGAAATACTATTCAGCCATCAGAAAGAAGGACATCCTGCCATTTGCAACAACATGGATGAACCTGGAGGGCATTAAAGTGAAATAAGCCAGACAGAGAAAGACAAAAACCACAAGGTATCATGGATAAAGATCTGTCTCTCTCTATCACACACACACACACACACACACACACACAGGAATGTTACTCAGCCATTAAAAAAAGAATGAAATCTTGCCACTTGCCACAACATGGATGCACCTAGGGTATATGATACTAAGTGAAATAAGTCAGAAAGGCAAATACTATATGATTTCACTTACATGTGCAATCTAAAAAACAAAAACAGGGACGCCTGGGTGGCTCAGTCGGTTGAGCGCCTGCCTTCAGTTCGGGTCATGATCCCAGGGTCCTGGGATCGAGACCCACATCGGGCTCCCTGCTCGGTGGGGAGCCTGCTTCTCCCTCTGCCTGCCACTCCCCCTGCTTGTCTCTCTCTCTCTGACAAATAAATAAAATTTTAAAATAAATAAATAACAAAACAAAAACAAACTCATAAATACAGAGAACAAACTGTGGTTGCCAGAGGGGAGGAAGGAGGGGGGATGGGTAAAATAGGTGAAGGGGAATAAGAGGTACAGACTTCCAGTTATAAAAGAACTCAAGGGCATGAAAATTACAGCACAGGGAATAGAGTCAATGCTATTGTAATAACTTTGTTTCATAACAGATGGTAACTACACTTAACCATGGTGAGCATTTCCTAATGTATATAAATGTCAAAACACTATGTTGTACACCTGAAACTAATATGTTGTATGTCAACTATACTTCAATTAAAAAAAACAAAAAATAAAAAACCTCCCATTGGGGTAGGGCCAGAAAGGAGGACAAAGACTTGATAATTGTTGAAGCTGAAGACGGGTGATGAGTACCTGGGTTTTCATGCACTCTTCTGACAAAAAAAAAAAAAAAAATACTGTATGGTATCATTTATACGTGAAATCTAAAAAAAGTAGAGTGGTGCTTGCTGGGCTGGGAGATGAGGGAAATGCAGAGAGATTGGTCAAAAGGTACAAACTTCAGTTATAAGATGAGTAAGTTCCGGAGATCTAATGCACAACACGGTGACTGTAGTTACTAATTCTGTGTTGTGTACTTGAAATTTACTAAGACAATAGAGCTTAAGCATTCTCATCAAAAAAATAAAGCATGTGAGGTGATAAATGTATTCATTAACTTGACTGTGATAGCCATTTCACAATGTATACATATATTAAATTATCACAGTGTACACTTCAAATATGTACAATTTTCATTCTTCAATTATACCTCAATAAACCTTGCAGCGGGGGGGAGGAGATCCTAAGAAGATATACTTCATTTCAAGTCTTAAATTTGAAATTGTAGACCCATAAGATCAAATCCAGCTGATCATCCCCATCATTCACAGACATGTCTGTGAATACTAATGCAAAATGAGTTGAAACAGAAGAAACAATTCCTATTTGGGGAACTCAGAGGTTTTCTGATAGTAAAATTTGGGCCCCTTGTCCTATATCTACCACGTTTTCATGGAGCCAAGTGCAAGGAAACTGACTGCCTCTTCCTGTCTAACATTCTGAGTCTCTGATCAATTGCTCAGAGAAGTGAATAAAGCCCCATCTAAGAAGGCAAGCCTTAGGTACTGAAAATAATTTCCAAGTCTTGCTTTTGGTGCCAACTATCCTCTCAATACAGATTGCAAAAACAGTCCTCAAATTTCAATGTTTAACCTGTTGAATTAGCATCTGTTAATCTCTCTGTACAATAATTTCAGAACTACCTGCTCCAAGTAACTTTGAAAAAGAAAAAAAAAATCTTCCTTCAGCTTCCTAATGTAGTTGTCAAATTAATCTGGAAAAAGCATATGTCCAAATGAATCACTTGTTTAAACATACAGTAGAAAATAGGCCTTCTAAAAAACAAACCCTCAGCTCTCTCTGTTTTGAAGGCCCTATATTCATGTTCTAGAAAACAAGGTTTCACTTTTCATTTAAAGCTGACTAAACTAAGCATTCTGGGGGCGCCTGGGTGGCTCAGTCAGTGAAGCTTCTGCCTTTGGCTCAGGTCATGATCTCAGGGTCCTGGGATCGAGCCCACATCAGGCTCCCTGAGTCTGCTTCTTCCTCTCCCTCCGCCTACTGCTCCCCCTGCTTGTGCGTGCTCACTCTCTCTCTCTCTCTCTGTCAAATAAATAAATAAACATCTTTAAAAAAAAATAAACTAGGTGCTCTGGGTCTTCACTCCTACTTCCTTTGTCAGGGGTAGCTCGATTGTAGAAAAATTTGGGGTGGCTGTTCCGAGTCCCACAAAACTTACCCTAATGGCAGATCTAGGCCTGTGAATCAGGCTTCATCTGCTTCAGAAGAAAAAGAGGAAGGACTCACCCTCCCCCCACCCAGCCACCTCCAATCCCGGGCCTCACGGGGCTTAAAAGCACAGTTCAAACTGGATGTGGAGGAGAGAGGCTACATTAGGAATCAGCCCCTAAACAACCACACCCTAAGTTTCTCTTCCAGTAGAATTCAGTAGCAACTCTCTGGGCATCAGAGACAAGGAAAACCTTTGATGCTTAGAATTACCACAATTTCATGGTGGCTTTGCCCTGTGGTCTAGAACATATCCCTTGTCTAACTTTGCTATTCAGCTTTACCCCTGGATTACGAGACTCACAGCGTTTCCCTTA